GAATTTGTTCGGGATAAGGAGACAAAGGAGCCTTTTGATCTGAGTGAACAAGTCGCTGGAAAGCTGCACAAGGCTGGGTTGGGAGCCGACCATGGTATTTCATTGATTCCATCTACTGGCTGCCTGGACGGTGTTCGAGGAGATATGGTGATCGTCTCTCCTCCTTTCACAATCACGAAGGAGGAGATCGAGTTGCTGGTTGACAAGGTCGAGAAAGTAGTCATTTCTGTCCTGGGATCATAGATAATTGCATTACGAAGCTATTCATCGAACAATCACATTATAAAAGCCTGCGTCGGTCCACCAAGCAAACTCGTCCATCGAATCGAAGACTGTGACGCCCAAATCTCCTTAACTTGGTCAATAGCCCTCAACAAATTCCAACACCCAGTGGTATTATGCAGTTTGACGAGCTTATCCAAAAAGAACTCTCTGTGATCCGGCGTCGAGCTCTCAGCTGCTACGATAAAGTATGGCCAAGCTAGGAGATGTCTTCCCACGATATCGACGTAAGCGTCGACTTGGCCGAGTGATTGTTTAAATCTCTCGATCATAGGCACGGTCTCTGAGGGCGGGGGGTTAAAGATGGCGCGTTGGACGTAGATGTCGCAGGCCCATGTTGTCAAAGAGGCGAGTTGAGAGAGGAGGTCTTTTAGTTCGGGGTGGAAGCGGTCGCACCATGTTATGAATTCGAGACAGGCTTGTTGCTGAGCTTGAATGAAATGAACGCCGTTGGTTTCGTTGAAGAGAGATTCTCCAAACAGGCAGACTCTGGGAAATGTTAGTGTTTGTTGGTCACTTGTCCTCGTGGGCATCCTTACCTTAGTATCTGCATTTGCAGAAACCTCCTGAGATCAGAGGTTCCTTCACCCACATTCTTCGCAAGTGCGTTAACAACCACTCGCAGCGAGCCATAGATAAGTCTGAAGTTATCACTTCCGCTTATCATCTCCCGAATATGCAGTAGAAGCAACGCAGTGAGTGCAGAGTCATCATCTTGCGGTGCACACTGATGAGACCGCATGATGAGTTCCCGTACAAGAGATCCATAAGCCGCGGGGTCCAGTGATATTGCAGTGCCGTTTTGTAACGAGAGATGCTGTTCGACTACCAAAAGAACTGCTTTTCGGACTAAAGGATCTGTTTCTGCTCTTGGTAAGACGAGATCACGATAGCCGTTAAACCCCATGTTTATTACAGCGATCAGTTGAGCAATGTTGTTTGAGACTATTGGCTGTTAGATGATGTCAAGGATAGTGAAGAGGGACTTACAATAGCCAAGACAGAACCTGGACTTTGGGTCAACGTGATCTAAGCCCCAGTCTATCGATATTGGTACATGATTTGAGACGACCAAATCTTGTATCTCATGCTCTTCCTCAGTTGTATTATCAATTTCAACTGGGTATTGCTCGACAGTCTCATAGCCACTTGCACGAAAAGGATCATTCTGTCTCTTGCAACTTGAGACTGACGCTGACGCCGTTCTCACAGAATTGGCTTCTACGCCATCAATAATAGGCAACGATTTGCCAACAAACTTTCCACGGGCAGCAATGCCGTCGTTGAAGCGGTATCGTAGACCTAGTCCACTGCACTTGATGCCTTTGGCGGAACATTTGCCACATGTTGGCTCTGTCCGATCACAGTCTATGCGCCGGCGAGAGCATTGATAGCATCCTGGCAAGTCAGTTAGCCCCTACTGGCTGAGTAAATATGGATCAAGGATATAATTACCTCTGACTTTGGGCCTTTTCTTCACTTTGTCCGACTTCGGAGGCGTTGCGGAGGGCATTGAGTTGAGTTCCGGGTGTTGCGGGGACACGGTGCTCTGCGTGATGCGTCGATGAACCACGATATCACGCCTGTCAGTCAAAGACAATGACACTCGCAGGATCTAGCTGAGCTATAATGGGATTGTAATGAGTGTGAGGAAGCAATTGATGAAGAAGTCTGGTATCGCAATCAGCAAATTATCGTTATCGCGTCGAGATACCAACGAGATGCTCTTTCGAGTTAGTGCCTGTCATTCGCCCTGGCGTACAGGGCGGGGTAAGCTATCCCCTTGTAGGAAATTCGACACGAAGATCGAATCGCCATTGATAAGTTGATAACTGAGGCATTGAGAATTGATAAGTACTAAGGTTTATCGACAGTGGATAGACTGGCTATTCGTTAAGCATGCATGTCCTAGGGCAGTAGTTTCTTGCGTGACTTTGGACAGGCAGTCTTCCTCATGCGGGAAAGAAAAGACCAGAGTCAATAAGTCTTCCTGTTGAGAAGAAGACAAATTGCTTGAGCCTGTTGAGATGGAAAATATAAGAGTTGACTCAAACAGATTCTTCTTGACGGGTTGTAGGAAGAGGCAGCCAATCTGGTTGGTATTGTTTAGCTGGCGGCTTCTCAAGGAGAGTATCACAGAATCAACAACCACCAAAGCTTCACGAGTTGGCTTTCATGAGAAATAAAGAGCTTGATCGTATACTAAATGCCAGCGTAGATGAAGAGGAATGGTCTACGAAATGGCTTCTAGGTGCTATACTACCTTATGGGGGAATCCCAAATCTGTCATTTGATAGCTGAGATCTCGCTATTATGGCTTCATCGACCTCCTCGCCACCCAAAACTGCGCATTGTACGCACTCTTCGTCAAAGCCTTATTGTTGAACCCATAAACAGCTTCCATACTTCTAAGCGTCCTCCCCTCAAACGTCAACGGACCGCAACTCTCATCTGTATCAAGATACTCAAACCCCATCGCCTCAGTGACCTGAACAATCTCCTCCAACGTCAACTGCACAAACGGCCCAGTTCCATAGAGCAACGGCCCAAGGTTCACCCAGTGTCCACCTGGTTTCAGAACCTTTTTTATGGTGTCGATATAACTCATCAAGTTGCGGGCTGTGTCGATGAAGAAGTATGTTACTATTATGTCGTAGTAGTGCGTCTTGTCGTTGAATACAGTGGTGAAGTCGCCTTCGGTAAGGACTACGGATGTTGAGTTGAGGGCTGTGTCGGGAAAGGTAAGTTTGCGAATCATGTCTGATTCTGTGGCGTGGTGGGACCAGCCGTCGATGAAAGGGTGGAATGAGTGGGTGTTTTGAGCGCGGTTGGCTTCGATGAAACGGTAGGCGATGTTCATATACATAGACCATTCGTTCACGGTCACCTCGAATCCTGGGTATTGTTAGCACTGAGGCATCGTATTTGAGTGACAGGCTCAAGTGCGGTGATTTGCTGTATTTTCAGGGAAACCTTACCTCCAAGTCTCGCGATATCATGTCCAAGACGTCCTAGTCCCGATCCAGGAACAAGAATCTTGACCGGGTTTTCCTCATCTCTCATAGGAAACAACCCCTGAAGCGTTTTCACAAGGCAAGCAAAAGTCTCCTTCCTTTCAGACTCTCCCTCTTCTGTCCAGTCTCGTACATAATGCTTCAGAGCTTGAGATACGGAAATCTTATCCGCAAGCCTCCCTGAAGACTGTGCGGCACTGATATGCCTTTGGAGCTCCTCCTCATCAATGCCATAAAATTTCATGGCATTTTGAACTATGGCATCACAGAGCTCCTGGTTCTTCCTCAGAAGAGCGTCTATGCGTGTGAACTTCTTGGAATAATTGACTTGATGCTCTAGTAACTTTATTCATATTAGACTTCGAATGCACACGTGAGCATAACAGACTCACAGATCTTTGAGCTCGAGAGGCATGTTTATAGAGACCCTCAAAGCGATCAACTTCGGCTTTCTGACGCTCATGGTACCTCCTATATCCATACAATGCATCCAGCAACCGATGTCTTGGGTGCTGAGCGTTCCAGTTCCCCCATCCTATCGCCATGCTCTTGTCGAGCTTCTTCTTGGCTTCGACATGACGAGGGGTATCAGGGTTACAAGAGAACTGCTCTAGTGAAGTGACAACAGACCCGGACTGTGATTCACGGGTTAGCTGGGGGAATGTGGTTGTCGCGGTGAGCATTCTCTTGCGCAGTTTGTATGCAGCGACGAGGAGGAATAGTAGGAGACAGACCAGGTTGGGGATGGAGGCGAGATCAGGGTTGTTTTGTTCCAAGGCATCTACCTTGATGTTCTCGTCTGCAGCTGTGCATAACGGCGCGAACAGGAGGGTAAGGGCCAAATGTGGCTTCATAGTGAAGTGCGGCGCAATAGAGGGGTAAGGAAAGGATGTGCATTCACGTTGAATGAAGAGAGTTTCGAGGTTACCAAGGTTATGGTTGGTCACGACAGCGCATACCCATCCCAAGTACCTACCAGCCCGTTTTACAGACTTTTTATTCCCGTAGGTTGTCGAGGAACAAAAAATAAGAGTTGCCTGATTCGTTTCTTGGCCTGGTAGTCTCAAAGTGGATACCATTATTAGTTAGCGGTCGTTGGTGGGGTCTTCCAGGGGATCCAGTTTTTAAGGTGAGGACCTTGATGGGCATTGCCAAGAGAAGCCTCACGATGAGTTACAGGGACCCGACATCGACGACAGGGACTTGGAGGTCTCTTTGATCGTGATCCTTTAGGCTATAGAGACGTTATATTTACTGGTGTGAGAAGTTTGACTGGTTGAAATCGAGATTAGAGGGTGATGAGTACCTGAATGGCATACCTCCACTGACTTGCACTTACACGAGCATGTTGGATGCATCTTGACAGACGGTGACCAACGGTTCAGCCGTCATCTCAAAGCCCAAGTGAGTGATCCAGTTCGAGGACAATACGCCCCAGCAGTCTCTATAGAGCTCCCAATACCCCCACGCGCCGACAATGGATCTCCCAATGCGTCCATTATTCCCTCCTCGAGAGCCCGTTCCTTGCTAGTCCAACACTTGCATCCTACGAACCTCGCAAGTGGCAAGGCAATTCTCTTGGCAGAGCCTGTGAATCACTCTCACTCTTATTGCAAGGGATATAAAAATTTCCTCTCCCGCCTGTATCTCACCTCGACAACCTCTCGCTCACATCAACATCGACATCTCTCACAAGCATCCAAGATGAAGACTACCACTTTCGCCGTCGCCGTTCTCGGCCTCTTTCCTGCCATCATGGCTCAGGCTCCTTCGCCTACTGAGTCTGTTGGTTGTGAACCTCATGGTGATCACTGGCACTGCGAGGCTGCTCGTACTGATGCTGTTGCTGCTACCTCTGAGGCTGAGCATGATCACGACCATGATGATCCTACTGGCACTGGTTCTCTTGCTGCTTCTCCTACTGAGTCTGTCGGCTGCGAGCCTCACGGAGATCACTGTATGTCCCTCACTCCTTTCACTGTACCCGCTTATTGACATATCTAGGGCACTGCGAGGGCCCTCGATCTACCCTTGCGACTGAGGCCAAGGCCACTGAGTCCGAGCATGACCACGACCACACTGGTGCTACTGGCACTGGTTCTCTTGCTCCTTCTCCTACTGAATCTACCGGCTGTGAGCCCCATGGTGACCACTGGCACTGCGAGGCTGCCCGCACTGGCATTGAGGCCAAGGCTACCGAGTCTGAGCATGATCACGACGACGCCACTGGCTCTGGCTCTCTCGCCCCCTCTCCCACCGAGTCCGTTGGCTGCGAACCCCACGGCGACCACTGTACGTTTCTCCTCACCACGATCTTGCAATCACATACTGACTATCCCAGGGCACTGCGATGGTCCCGCTACCGCTGCTGCAGACAGCACTCCTACTTCCAGCAACTCAGCTGCTGTCACCGACAACGCTGCCATTGGACCAATGATCCCCCTGGCTGGTATGGTCGCCGCTGCTGTTTTCGCTCTTTAAATTGTGAGGTTGAGAATGGATGATCTGGGGATAGTGGTGTCGAGCCCTGGATTGACGCAGTGGAGGATAGAAAGACACACTTCATGTAAACTTTGTTTCTTGATGGACCGGAAGCGGCTTGACTACTGGTCTAAAGATGGGACGTAGATATGTTCATTAATCACGACTTTTACTTGACCTTGCTTTGAGGTTGTTGTGTTATGAATGAGTGTCGAGTGGCTTGCATGACTGGTCTCCTCAAATGAAGAAGAGCCAGTCTGATTCTACAGATGCCCTCTCTGGATGCATTCCAAGTTTTTCACTGTATATTAGCGTAATTATTGCCAGCCCTCTTATGATGTCGGCGTAATTGACAGCTGAGCCTCACTCAACCCTAACCTCCACCTTCGTCCTCACCTTCACGTCACACGTCAAAACAACCTCCTCAATAGCGCCGCACCCAAAATTACCCATAAACATAACCTTGTTTTCCTCTACCCCTTCCCTGCATATCCATTCAAAATTTCCCCGAGAAACCGATCACATCACGTCAAAAATCTCTCAGCTCCAGCAAACGGGGACTTGGCCCACGCCCATCAAGGTTCTCAGCCCACCACCACCGACATCAAGTTAGCCGTGGGGAATAAACACCGCGGTCTTTTGGGTAAATGGGAAAATCTCTGCTCCCTACCTTACCTAGTGAGTAACCTTGTTTGCAAGCTTACTTGTCCGCGGTATCAAATCGGGTTGTTGGCTTTCAACGGTGCAGTTTTAGTTTGAGGCAGGAGGATCCACGGTCTGGCCGATTGCCACTCTTGTCCTGTCCCTCTACCGCAATATGGATCTCTTCTGTAAAAGGAAGGCTTCTCTTAGACATCCAGGTCATCTCAAAGTCGCCCCACGGTTCTTTTTGCTCGCTGCCAAGAGCCCTGCTGGAGTTTCACTGACAAACAGAGGACCTTGATGTTCACCTCATCCCCCACGCTAAGTGAGGTCGCCTCTCCCAGTACCTATACATAATAAGCTTAAACATCCAGAGTTGATTTGTTCTTCCAGCATCACTCAACTCATATGCAAATCTCCATCATGGCTCGTGTCAAGAGTTTCTTCGAGAGCCGTCGTGCCACTATGATCGCTGGGTCTCTCCTCTTCGTCGTCGCTGTCTCTGCGACGGCGAACCCAGGGGCTGTCAAGAGACAGGCGTCTGCTACTGCGACCAAGACTGGTATTGACTTTGAGAGCTTGACGGGCTGTCATATGCATGGTCCTACTCAGTCAGTGCCTCCTTTATCGCTATCGCAAGATATACTGACAATTCAGGTTCTGTATGGATGGCTCAGACGAGTATCAGATTGTTCTCGAGGCTACCATGACTAAGGATCCTCCTACTTCGTACACAGATTGTCACAGCCACGGTTCAGACACGTATGTTCTTTATTCTTATCATTCTGGCGCCGCTGACTGGTCAGATACTGCATGAATCCCAACGGCGGAGAAGTCCAAGTCCTCGTGGAAGGTGCTACAGCCACTACCAAGGCCGCCAAAGAAACTGCTGCTGCGAAGAATGATGAGATCACTGCCGTGTCAGATTGCCACATGCGCGAGGCTTCTCTGTAGGTTCGCTCTTCCACTATTAGTAGAACATTCGTGCCTAACAAGACCAGCTACTGCGTGGGCCCCAGCTCATCAGAGTACTACGTCCAAACTACCATCACCAACACCGAGGAGTATCCCGCCCAACTCACGAGCTGCCACAGCCATGGCGAAGAAACGTACGTTACTCTTCGACGCTGCTAACTCCTACTAACAATTTTAGTTACTGCATGTCCGACGATGGCGAAGCTCCCATCCTCCCAGCCGAAGATGTCGAATCCGGTAAAGCAGACCCTCAGCAAGAACATTGCCATTTCCACGCCGGCGTCGAGTTCGTAGCCCCTTCTTCCATTCGCAGCCTTGACTAACTTGCGACAGGCACTGCGTTGGCGGTGGCTCCGAAGAGAGCGGTACGCGAGACTGCGGTCGTAAAGACAGAGACTACAAGATTGGCATTCGCATAGGAATGTTGTTCGTCGTTCTGGTCGCCAGCGCCGTTGGTGTCTTTGGACCGATCCTCATGTCGACGTTTGTTCCCGTGCGATCCAACCTTGTCCTCACGATTCTCAAGCAATTCGGTACTGGAATTATTATCTCCACTGCTTTTGTTCACGTACGTTTATCTACTCCCCTTGGAGACAATAATTGACCGTTGAAGTTGTTCACCCATGCGTCCATGATGTTTGGTAACGAATGTCTGGGCGAGCTGCAATACGAAGCTACCACTGCTGCTATCGTCATGGCTGGTCTCTTCATTTCGTTCCTTATCGAGTTCTGTGTTCAGCGCGCTATGCGATGGCAGTTGACCAAGAAGACCGAAACCGACTCGGCTTACTTGTCGCCCAAGGCTATCGAGAAAGCCGAGATGGCCAACATTAGCATCATGGAAGCTGGTATCATCTTCCACTCGATTCGTACGTCCATCACCCTCTTGCTATGTACCCCAACTAACGTCTCAGTCATCGGAATCACACTTGTTGTAGCAGGAGACTCCTTCTTCATCACCCTCTCAATCGTCATCATCTTCCACCAGCTTTTTGAAGGTATCGCCCTCGGTACACGAATCGCCTCGCTTGGCTATGGTCATATACCGGTCGCCCTAAGTCACTCTCACTCGCACTCTACACCACCTCCAACCGTTGAACGAACTGGAACATCTACCGTACCTCTGTGGAAGAAACTCGTCCTTGCTTCTGGCTTCGCCATCGTCACCCCCATCGGCATGGCCATTGGTATCGGTGTTCTGAACGTCTTCAACGGAAACGACCCTGCTACCTTGATCGCGATTGGCACTCTGGATGCTTTGTCCGCTGGCATCCTTGTCTGGGTTGGTCTGGTTGAGATGTGGGCTCATGACTGGATGCTGGGAGGTGAACTCACCGATGCTAGCCTCCTTACTACGCTTTTGGCTCTATTTGGTTTGGTTTGCGGCATGGTTCTCATGAGCTTGCTTGGAAAGTGGGCTTAAACGGTCGGTCGTTAGAATACATGGAGATCGCGATGCGACACCAGTGACGTCCATCGCAGTAGTCAAGAAGATCACTCATTAGAGATATAGAAACAAGCCGCATACACATACAGTATACAGCAATCAATTCTCCTGTATACTTTGTCGCTCCCTGGGAGCTTAGTGACTTATAATTTCCGGCGTTCCTCACAAGTGATGTACGGAATGGGTTCAATGAACCCAATTCTCAGCGCCTTATACTCTGCCGTGATCACGTCTCATCCTCCATTATCCCAAGTTCAACCTTCTCTCTAGTCTCTCTTTGCGCGCGCAGCTTGGATCTTCTTGGTCAAGCTTCCGATGCCAAAGAAGATGCCAATAACCGTCTCGTTCACCCAATTAGGCAAACACGACAGAATCCAAGTCTTGGTCGCCATCCCTCCTGCGTAGAACCAATCAGGTGTACCCCCAATCAACCCGCCCAGATATCCCTCACCCTTCAACGCGGCGGTCACCAACTTCTCCGCATACCTCTCCGTTGGCATCGTGGCCGTTCGCTGACTGAACGTCAATCGTCGCTGGAAAAAGTCATTGATGGGCATGTACAGAGAGTTGGGCGGTAGAGATCGATGTGTCCGGCTGGCGATGTTGGACCGCACTGTTCCGGTGACTGCGACCATGACTCGCACGTTGAAGGGCTTGAGTTCAAGGCGGATAGCTCGGGACCAGACGTTGATGGCGCCCTTAGTGGAGGAGTAGATGGCGCCGAAGATGTAAGGGACGAGGGTGGATGTGCTGGAGATGTTGATGATAAGACCACGGGCTTCAATGAGGAGAGGCGCAAAGGTTGAAACCATCTGGATTGGACCAAAGACATTGACCTCGTATGTTTGGCGAACATCGTCAAGATCTGTGTCAATGGAGGGGATGGTGTGAGTTCGGCCACTGGGAAAGTCAGTTTGCGCCATATACTGAGTGTATTGGGTGACCTTACGCATTGTTCACGAGAATGTCGAGACGGCCACCAGTGAGTTCGGAGACCTTCTCTTTGCACTCTTCAATACTCTTGGCGGAGGTGATCTCAAGAGGCAAGACACTGACGCCAGGCTTTTCGAGATCCTTGATCATGTCTGTGTTTCGCACCGTCGCAATGACATGGCAGCCTGTGAGAGTGAGTTAGTACTCAATCGACATGTCCCCAATCATCCGACTCACCCTGACGATGAAACTCATTAACAAGAGAATGGCCGATACCTCCAGGCGAGCATCTGCTCTCATCAGCTTCAATCCTCAACAAATCTAGAGGTCAATTGCTTTACCCAGTGATAAGAACGTAAGTTTTTCTTTCGGCCATTTTGCTGACAATTTCCCAAATCTGACAGAGGATGTAAGTTGATTCGTTGAAGGTGAGCACTACTACAAGTGAATACTCGTGGTGTTGAAGCTTGCGATTGAGGTCTATTGAAGCTCTTAAAGTAAAGTGAAAACATGTGAAATTGGTCCGAGCTGTTTCCCCATTGCCGAGACCTGTGGTGGATCACGATTTGGGACGTTTCAACCACTGAGGATTGACCTGGTTTCGCTGCCCGCGGGCTCGCGTTGGGAATTGAGAGTGTCACTGTACGATTATCGAGTGCGAATGCGAGTGTCTATCTTGATCTAATGACTTGAGTTGAGCAGTGAACTCAGCCTCAGGGCTTTTATCCATTCCCCTTTGTATCTATGGTTGATGGGGAGATAGTTCTTTGGCTTTGAAGCGGGGAACATGTTGCCTCGTATGTGCGTCTGAATGCTACCCTGTACTCTACAATACATGCAAAGATGCGCATCATTTACTCACAACCTCTGATTCAAAGGGTTGAACATGATTTTCACATACAACTTTCATAGTCTTATCTAAAAAGTCTTAGAAAAGGTCTCGGTGTCAATAAAAGTGGAAGCTGAGACATCTTCAAGCTCAAGATGAAGGTCTCAATGCCAA